AAAAAAAAAAAAAAAAAAGTAAAAAAAAAGTGGCGAACTGTGTGGTACCACAGCAAACCTAAATGCTGGAATAAATGCCTTCAGATGGCACAGCACGAACTAATAACTGGAAATTAAAGCTAGGCAAGCTGTGATTCATCAAAAGGCACATTTTTTAGAAGAGAGAGTGGTTGATCACTGTGACAATTTACCAAGATTTCATCACTGGAAATTTCTGAGACTGGATGCTTTTTTCTGTAAAGGTGCTCTTGTTCAAGGAAGAATTGATTTAGGAGAGCACTATGTCTATGGTTGTCATCCTGATCCCAGGGGCTTCAAAATCAAGGAAGAGTGGGGTATTTAGAACTAATCAAAGAAAGAGAGCAAAGCAGGAGACTAGTAAGTTTTATATGTTAACTCATTATTTATACAGATGAATGAATTTTATGGTCCACCAAAGTTTCTGAAAGCCAAATGAAAACTTCTGCCAAGTTCCCAGTTCTTGAATAAATTCAAAGTTATTTTTATAAGGTCTAATTGCAAATCCCTCTTCTTGCAGTGTGCCTGAAGTTCAGTTTATCTGCCTGGGAAACATGAAGAGAAGACTCTGTTTTTCCTTGGATTACAATATATAATTCCAGGAAATCTTAAGTAGATAAAACTGAACACCAAGATAATTAAACCTGTAATGTCATCTCAATAGTAGCATGTCCTTCAGAGAACAATCCTTCTGCCTAAAAGAGCTAATGTTAAGCAAGAAAATGTGGTGGTTTCAATTTAGGAATATATTACAGAGAACTGAGGCTTTTTTCCAAAGTTATTCTTTGTTGTGCAATTTGTATCCCTAACATCTCTCCAAGACAACTTGGGGAAAGCACCAGAGACAATCACTTGGTCCAACTCCTGAGAAATTAGGGTTGTAGAGATCATTTGGGAAGTTGCCGGATCTTCGAAATGGTTTGGAATCTCTGGTTCAAGCATGTATTGACCTGTCTAGAAAACAGATTTGTTTGTTGAAAATGCATCAGTGAGAAAGTTTATGAATAAACTAAACATTATAGACAGCTATTTTATTGCCCTTAACAACTGACCACTAGATGAAGTGTCTGAGAAGCTGCAGGTGTATCAAGGCAGACAGCAGGTTGTCTGAGCTATCATTCTGCTTATTTTTAAAATAATCTTTCAGAATCAATCCTTTTTATTGTGTTCAGCAAGCTTGATTTTGATGCACAGCTTACAAAACAGCAGTTGTTATTTTATAGTTGACAAGTGTCGAGAAGACTTCTGGAAGACAGCCTTGAAAATACAGTGACCCTGAGGATCTTCATGTACAGTCATTTTATAACCATAAAGCTACCTATACCTGCTGTGCTTCAGTTTGTACTACAAGTACTACAGCAGGCACTGCTTTTCTGCAGGAACTACATTTTTATTCCTTTTTTAAAAGTAAATACAGAAAAAAAAAAAGAATGGATACATATATCACATTATATAAAACTGTGAAATGGCAAGGCAGAATAGAAAATGTGCCTATGTCTTCTGTCCATTAAATGGGAAAGTAAGTTGGGGTCTTGTAACTTATTTTAATAAAGTACGATATGCACACAGACACTGGAAGTTTTCTTGTATATAACTTAAAGGATGTGTGTTATGAAGTAAAGATTTTAACAAAACCAAGGAAACAAATCCTCAAAGATAAAGGGGGCATAAAGGGAAGAAATTCACAGAACTAAACAGAATACTATCCCTAATTTACATAGTTGGAAAAAGAACCATTTGATTTGAAAACCTACAAGTCCTTGTTAATATAGATAAAAGGTTTAATAGTAATTTCAGGTATTAATAAAGTTGTTTAACACTCAGAAGGATGAAAGATGTCCTCCAATTTAAGGTTTTTATCCTGCAAGGTTTACTTATGTTATTAGTTATTCCTGTTGTCATATCAGACTCTACTGAAAATACTTCTGCCAGTTTGGCTTATAGGATAAAATACACAAGTTAACAATTAAAAAATTTAATTGTTAAAGGAATCCAGTTGTTTTGCACACCTGGTGTTTATAATCATCCAAATGCTTCAGAAACTATATTGAAATAAGTTGCAGTCAAAAGTATGATTTTTTTTTTTTTTAATTTAAAAAGTCAACATATTTTGTAGAACTTTGCAATATAATTACACAAAATATTTTATGACTAGCTGGTATGTCAAGGACATACTGTAATGACATCTATGCTTGCTTCATGCCCTTCACCTAACAGATACAAACAATTGCAAGGAAAACTGGTGGGCAGAAGTTGGGTTATCATGTTCACAGCACATGCGAGTGGGACTTCAGGTATGTCTACAAAGTAATGTTAAGTTAGACTGTAATACTAAATAGCACAGGTAAACACAGAACACAACTTCAGCAAGGGCTAAAAATGAGACTGTAAACTCTCCAAAACTGCTGGATTGGTCTGTGGTTGTTATTTTGTGATGTGTGCCCACTGATATTCATTTGCTGTTGTTTGGTTAAAGTTAGTGTGGGACAACTTAGCTATGTTACATTTTCTTCCTCAAAGTGCTGTATATGCATATTTTTTCTGCAAGTCGTGGAGTTTTATGTCCAGCACTTTACTTTGCTTACTTTCATGTCCTCTGCTTAGACATGGGTATTATACAAGGATTTATAGGGCCAGAAGTATGCCTTGGCCTCTGTAA